TAAATAAAATAAAAGTATTGTGTCCAACTACAACTAAAAAAAAATTATTTTAAAAAAAGTGGAAAGGTTTATTTTGGCTCCATTTCGGAAGTGTCAGCCCATGATGGATTGACCCTGATGCTTTGGGGCTATGCAGCATGATACAACATGACGGAAATACATGGTGGTAGAAGCTGTTCAACTCATTAATAGCAAAAAAAAAAGAGAGAGAATAAAAGAGACTGGAGTCCCACAATCCCTTGGAAGGACATGGCTCCAATGACCCAGGCTCCCACAAGGCCCCAGCTCTGAAGGATTTGTATCACCTTCCAATAGATGAGGACCAAGCCTCACATGAGCCTTTTGGGAGACATTCCAGATCTAAACTATAGCATATTGTAAGCAAGGACTTTTAGAACAAATTTCTCATAAAAAATTGACCAGGGGCTGGGGATGTGGCTTAAGCGGTAGTACACTCGCCTGGCATGCACGCGACACTGGGTTCGATCCTCAGCACCACATAAAAATAAAATAAAGATGTGTCCACCGAAAACTAAAAAATAAATATTAAAAATTCTCTCTCTTAAAAAAAATTGACCAGGTAATATAACTTTGGTGTGTGGCTTTCTCCAGTCTTCTTCTCCCTGAGGAACTGCACCTGAGTTTCCAAAACCTTCTGTTACAGTCTACTCCAGCTCAGCAGAGGTCAGAGCTGCACTTCTCTCTTCTTAGTTAAAATTCTTAAAGAATTCTTTTCCTTCAATAGTCTTTTTTAAATTTCATGTAAAGTTTCATAAGATTTCTAAGATTTCTGAATTTTGTTGTCATCTTTATTTTCTTTTTCCCTTGGGTCCAAATTAAGGATTAATCTTATAGCAAATGAGGTGAAAGTAAGAGGAAAGACAAAGATATTCCATGGAAACCATAACCAAAAGGGAGCCGAGGTGGCTATATTAATAACAGTCAAATCAGACTTCAGGTCAAAAATTGTTACAAGAGAAAGATAAAGACCTTACATATTGATAAAAGGCTTGATTCATCAAGAAAGCATAGCAGATTACTAAGGCATGAATGTTTTCTGTTCCCTCAAAATTCACATGTTGAAGCCTTATCACCAGTGTGATGATCTTAGGAGGAAGGGCCTATCAGAGGTGATTTTTTAGGCTCTGCGCATACAAATGGGATTAATTCTCTTTTGGAAGAGAGTCCAGAATGCTGCTTTGTCTCTTGGTCCATCACGTGAGACAATAAAAACCATCTATGAATCAAGAAACCGGCCTGCATTGGACACTGAATCTTCCAGCACCTTATTCTTGGACTTACCAGCACCCAGAACAGTGATAGATATTTTTGTTTATAAGCCACTACATTTATGGCATTTTGTTATAGTACCCTGAATGGATTATATAAAATATCAGACCTCCAAAATACATGGGGCAAAAATTGACAGAATTTAAGAGATCGGACAATTGTTCTACAATAGTAGAAGACCTCAATACCCCCACCTTCAATATGGATAGAACCAGAAAAAAAGATCAATAAGGAAAAAGAGGATTTGGACATATTACAGACTAACTGGACTTAACAAGCATATACAGAAAATTCCACCCAAAAAAGCAGTGTACTCCCTGAATACATACAAAACATTCTCTAGGATAATCCAATGCACAAAAACTAATGATATCCTATATGCTAGTAACAAACAATATAAAAAGGTATTTAATAAAACAATTCTATAATAGCATTGAAAAGAAAAAATACTTAGGAATAAATTCAACTAAAGAGGTATACAACTTATAAACTGAAAATTACAAAACAAATCCTGAAAGATAAAAGAAGACCTACATAAACAGAGATAACTTGTGTTCTTGGATTAGAAGACTTAATATTGTTAAGATGGCAATACTTGGGGCTGTGGCTGTGGCTGAGTGACAGAGTGATTGCCTAGCATGTATGAGGCACTGGGTTCTATCCTTAGCATCACATACACATACAAAAATAAGCACATAAAGGCATTCTGACCATCTACAACTACAAAAAAAAATATTTAAAAAGAAGCCAATACTTCCAAAATTAATACTTAGAGTTCATGTAATTTTTTTCAAAATTCCAAGGGCCTTCTTGCAAAGAGAGAAAAGCTGATCCTAAAATTTATATGGAATTGCATTGCAAGAGACCCTGTATAGGCGTTTGATATCCGAAATTTAGGAAGAACTTAAACCTAACAAACAAGAGACAAGCAAACCAATATAAAAACTTGCAAAGAACTTCAGTAGAATTTCTCTAAAGATACACAAGTGGGCAACAAAGTACACAAAAAGCTCCTCAACATCATTCATCATTAGTAAAATGCAAATAAAACTAGAATGAGATAACAACTCATGCCCACTGGGATGGCTATGAGAAAAAACATATTAGAAAATAATGAGTGTTAGTGAGATTATGAAGAAATTGGAACTTTCATAAACACTTAAGGAAATATAAAATGTTGCAGTGTCACCAAGCATACAGGTCCTGGGTTCAATTCCCAGTACCAAAACCAAACAAAAATAAAACACACATTTATTCAACATATGTACATCAACTGATGTATGGATAAACAAAGATGTAATCTATCCATCAATGGAATATCAATACACAGTATTAACATATACTATAATATGAATGAACCTAGAAAACAAATTACACTAAGTATGAGACTCCAAGTAACATATCGTATGCAATATGAAATATCCAGAATGGGAAAGTCCATAAAGACAGAGAGCAGATTAGTGGTTGCCAAGGTTTGGGATGTGGGGGAAAAAAAGAGTGACTGTTTCATAAGTATGGGATTTCCTTTTGGGGTGGTAAAAGAGTTCAAGACCTAGGTAGTGATGATGGTTGCACAACATTGAGTATATTAAATGTCACTGAATTGTACACCTTTTTAATCACTTTTATGTGCATTTTATCACAATTTTTACTTTTTTCACCTTTTAAAGTTTTGAGTGAATGGGATTTGGTGTTACATATTTGTACATGCCCAAAATATCACAATATAATTTGGTCAATATCATTCCCCAGTATTTCCCCTTCCCCTAGTTCCTTTCCTCTGTTCTACTGATCTCCCTGGCCTTTGTCCTTTTTCCTCTCTAGCTTCCACCTATGACAGAAAACATACAACCCTTGACCTTCCACGTTTGGTTTGTTTTGCTTAATATAATATTCACAAGCTCCATCCATTTTCCTGCAAATGATATAACTAAAAATCAAGAGTAATAATAAAAAATTATGTAAACCAAGTCATTTGATTTTTGCCTATGGCATAATAAGAAATACATTTGATATTTTTTCCCCATTTCTGGCATAAGAGCTCCTAAAACCATTGGAATTTCCTGATTTGTGTGAAAGAAGAATGTTATTCATAATGAGCTCTCTTCAATCACAGCTGAGTTTATGTTAATAAAGTGACCTTAGTGGCCCCCTAGTAGCTTCAAGACTGGTTGCCAGAGGAATCAACCATAGGCTTAAAAGGATAGAGACTTTCAGCCCCACCCTCTGACCTGTGGGAAGGAGAGACTGAATTATTCACCAGTGGCCAAATATCTAGTTAATCATAGGCACATAATGAAATCTCCATAAAAACTCCAAATGAGTTGTTTCTGGAATGGAGAATGTGTTCATGTACCAGTAGTGGTACACCCCAACCTATGAGGACAAAAGCTCCCACACCTGAGATCCCTATAGACCTTGCCCTAAGTACCTCATCATCTGGCTGTTCACTTGTACCCTTTATGATGTCCTTTATAACAACTGGAAATTGTCAAGTGTTCCCCTCAGTTCTGTGAGCTGTAGTAGGAACATGAGCAAAGGATCATGGGAACCCTCAATTTGTAGTCAAGTTAGTCAGAAGTGGGGTAACTTGGGGACCCCCTTCATAAGATGGGTACCTAAAGTAGGAAGAGTCTAAGGCTTTATTCCAAGCAGTGTCAAAATTGATTTACATTGTAGAACACCCAGTTGGTGTCCACAGAGAACTGAATTGTATAGTGTGGAAACCCACACACTGGGCATCAGATTTATTACACAAAACCCCCATCTAGAAATGGACTTTTGATAAGTGTTCAAGGATTCTGGAACATTAAATTCTGAGAGATATCAAGATTTCAGATTTTTGAAAATTCTATTTCTTTTTGAAAATTCATCATTTGGCATTCTCTCATCTGCTTTCCTGCTCAGCCACAACTTGTCATAGCTGAGGAGAGGGTGGTCTCCCAGGTAGGACAACCCTTTTCAGTTCTCCACCCTCCTCACTACTCATTGTTACTGAGTATCTTCACTCTTTATCTCACCCTTGTAGGATAAGGAACTTTGCCTACAGAACTTTTGAGGAGTTGGCAGTCTCACTGACCAGCAATTGCTTATCCTCATGTAGCCACGGAGGACACCCAAACATGAATACCTGAAGAAACAGAAATACTTCCAGTTTAAGTATCTAAATAATTGTTCTGCATTGTTTTGCATGGGGGGGGGAGTTCTCTTGTCCTTGCATCTTGCTTGAGTTTTTCCTAGTTGGGCCTCTTATTCTTCAGCTTCCTGAAAGCTTGAGTATTCTTTTAATTGCTTAGAAATTTTTAAAGGGGTGGGAGATTATCTTCAAAAGAATATCTTTGGACTTCCAAGATTTTCATGGAGTCAGAGATCTTAAAATGCACTAATAAGAATGGGAATCCAAGGTAGACACCTCCCTTCAGGACCTCAAGAATAATGTTTGTAGGGAAGTACCTGTAACAGAAGTAACAGGAACCCTTTAATATGATTTTGCTGAAAACAACTTGTTGCTTTTTATTTCTATCAAGGGCATCTATAGTAAACCTCATTTTTGAGGGCTGAAGGATATTTGAGACGTGTGTGTGTGTGTGTGTGTGCGCGTGCATGCCTGCATATAAGCAAATACTAATCTCTCCTTATAGTACTACTGATAAAACAGCTTTTCTTGCTTTAATAGTCATTTTTATATTTTTAAAAGCTGCCTGCTAATGTCATTTGAAGGTTTTTATTGTTACTTATCTTTCAATTGTAAAACTTCCCTATATATTAGATATTACACTTTCTTATCACAAATTTTACAAATGTATTTCCACATTTTGTGTTTTATCTTTTAGCCTTATTTGGGATTATTTAAAACAAAAATGTACAGAAAACTTTAATTCTGAATGATCAGTTTATCAATATTTTCCTTATTGCTGGCTTTTTAGCTTTCATTTGAAGCTTTGAAATGCTGCCTCTATTTCATAAAAATATTCACTTGTTTTCCTTTCTAAAGGAAATTTTTATTGTTTTTCCTCTTTACAAAAGTAATGCATGCTTGTTGCCAAAAATTAAACAGAAATTAATTAATTTAGGTACAGTGAACATCTTTAAAAAATGGGTTTTCCTATGCAAGAACAAGGCTTCTCTTCTCCACTTATTCAAGTTTCTTCTGGTGGCCCTCAGTGGATAATTATAATTTTCTCCATACAGGTCCTACAAAATAATTATTTATACCTAGAAAATCACTTTTCTTGATGTTGCTAGGAGTGAGATATTTTCTTTAATCTTGTTTCCTGATTGGCTGTCATCACAAAACAATGTTATACATTTTTTAGATATTACTTTTTAACTGACTATACACTTCTGATTAAAAACTGAATAAAACAGGAGATGTTTCCATGAGAAGACTGCTGTATTCATTTCTTTTTCAAGGTATTTCCCCAGGGTGAATCTGATGATACATAATCCATTTCAATATTAGTCTTCAGTTTTCTACATCATTCTCACTATTAGGATTTTCCTTCATTATGGACACTCTGATGTTGCCTAAGTTGAAAGCTAAATCTGAAGGCTTTCCCACACACATTACACACATAAGGTTTCTTCCAAGTGTGGACAGTCTGGTGTATAATATAGTCAGAACTAAAGCTGAAGCCTTTGCCACACTCCCCACATCGGAAAGGTTTCTCCCCAGTGTGGCTTCTCTGATGCCGAATTAGATAGGCATTAACATGAAAGGCTTTTCCACATTCTTTGCATTGAAAGGGTTTCTCTCCAGTATGGATTCTCTGGTGGACAATATAGTAATAACTACAACTGAATGATTTCTCACATTCCATACATTTAAAAGGTTTCTCCCCAGTATGTATTCGCAGATGCCTCGTTAACTTGGCATTGACACTGAAGGCTTTTCCACATTCCTTACATTGATAAGGCTTTTCTCCAGTATGGATTCGATGATGATCAAGTAGCTTTCTTTTAGAGGTAAAGCATTTCCCACATTCATTACATTCAAAGGGTTTCTCCCCAGTGTGAATTCTCTGATGCTGCACTAGTTTTGCACTAACATTGAAGGCCTTTCCACACTCATTACACTCATAGGGTTTCTCCCCAGTGTGGATTCTCAGATGCTGCCGAAGTTGGTAATTACACCTAAAGGCTTTCCTACATTCATTACATTCATAGGGCTTCTCACCAGTATGGATTCTCTGGTGCTGAATTAACCTCCCTTTGATATTAAAGGCTTTTCCACATTCATTGCACTGATAGGGTTTCTCACCTGTGTGTATTCTCTGATGCTGAATGAGTTTTGCATTATTATTGAAGGCTTTCCCACACTCTTTACACTGAAAGGGCTTCTCTCCAGTATGGACACTTTGATGCTGTCTAAGCTGGGAGCTGCACCTGAAGTTTTTCCCACACTCACTACATTCATAAGGTTTCTCTCCAGTGTGGATTCTCTGATGTTGAATTAACTTTGCATTAGCATTAAAAGCCTTCCCACAGTCATTACACTGATAAGGTTTCTCCCCGGTGTGGACTCTCTGATGTGTGATATATGCAGAACTACAACTGAAGCCATTTCCACACTCCTGGCACTGATAGGGCTTCTCTCCTGAATGGATCCTCTGGTGCCTACTTAGATTCCCATTAACACTGAAGGCTTTCCCACACACCTTACACTGATAGGGTTTCTCTCCACTGTGGATTCTTTGGTGTGTAATATAATGTGAACTGTAGCTGAAGCATTTCCCACACTCCACACATTTGAAAGGTTTGTCCACACTAGTGTAGCTTTCTAGTTGCTGATTAAGTTGAGAGTCACACTTTAAAGTTTCCACTAATTCTTCATATTTCAAAGGTCTTTCTTCAGTATCAATTATTTCATGCTTAACGAGTTTTGTGTCAAAGCTGAAGACTTTCTCTTGTCCTATAGAACCAGGGTATTGCTCTCCAGTGGATGTGGTACGATATTGAAATGAGTTTGAACTCTGACTATAGAGACACTCCTCCATAGGACTTGTCTCATTTTTCACTGTACCATCAGTGACACAGCTGTTTTCCTCCTTCATACTTCCTGCTAAGTGGACTTCCTGTTGTTGCTCAAGCATAAAGGCTTCTGAAAAATCTGTTTCCTGGGAAGAGTCCTTGTGAAGTTCAAATGATGTACTAATTTTTTCTTCACACATTTCTTTGGACAAATTACTGCCAGTCTGGATATCAAGATCTACTATAAAAAACAGAAAATAGAAAATTTCATACAAGAAGCATGTTAGAAAAAAAAAAAAAAACCACTTGTACTATAAAGGATCATAGTAATCAGAGGGATTTTTAAAATCACCAGAATAAGTCAAAGAACTTAAGGTTCATTCATAAGCTGAAATACCATATAACTAAGAGTTAAATAAATCCATATATGCTGACATGAAAAGTCTAGGTGAATGAATAAATAAGTACAGAAACAGTACACAGAGGTGATTCCACTCATGTAAAGAAAAAAAAAATGCATGCCTATTCCTAGAAAACTACTTCTGGAAGAATACACAAGAAACTGAGCAAACTGGTATAGGAAATTTAGTAGACTTTCTTTTTCTACTTTATATAATTTCTGTACTGATTTGAGCATGTATCAATATTACGAATTTTAAAGTAATAATTATAAAAGATCACTAGTCACGCTCTGCCTAAGAAAAAGCCATTATCAATAATATGAACATCAAAACTGACAACACTGAAAAAACTGTAGGTCTTGTCCACCAAATCAGCATTTTCCCCATCATGCTATGCTTTTCTATACTCTGCAGTCTTAGTCATCTCCATGACACCGAGTTCCTTATTAATAAAAGAAGAAAATGCTTGGGAAAGAAAAGAAATCCAGCAATATGTGGTAATACTGGCAATGACACATCATGGCAAAAGGAAGTAAAAGGGAAAGAATTTTCTTTCCTCAGAACTTAAATTCTAGGCTTTTCAAAATTCCTTCCTTACTTCTTTTTCTTCCACTTCAGAAAAGCCCTTATTTGATCCACTTCTTCCCATCCCTCCAGAATACTACTGTATTAGCCTCGCCTTTTCCTTCCACCTTTTCCCCAATCCTAAAATCGATCATTTCCTAAAATTCTTTTATAATTTCAATAATCTTTAGAGCTACTGAATTCTGCATTTGTTCCCAAACTTCTCAAAACGTTGGTCCAAAAAGAGTGCCTCTATTTTTTTCATCTTCCATACCTGTTGAACCACATGGAATATGCCCCATAATAAACCCAAATAAGCTGGATTTCCTAGAAAGCATTTTCAAAAATAACACTGGTCTTTTCCTAATTAAAAAATAATTCCCATCTGATGCTACAGAATGTCCTCCCGACCTTCAATTCATATGCTAAAACCATAATCTTCAATAAAATTGTATTATAAGGTGAGGCCTTTGGCAAAATCCTGAAGAATGGGATTAGCATGGTTTTCAAATAGATCCTAGAAAGTTCTCTTCCCTTCCACCATGTGAGGATACAGTGAGAAGATAGTTGCCTTAATAGGAAACAGGCCCTTGCCAGGCACAGAATCTGTCTGCACCTTGATCTTAAACTTCCAGCCTCCAGAAATGTAAAAGTAAATTTCTGTTGTTTATAAATCACCCCATCTATGGTATTCTGTTACAGTAGTTTAAACTGATTGAGACAGCTATAATATCAGTAACTTATAAAAAAGGAAATTAAAATTACCTGAAATGTGGCCACCTAAAAATAACTACTGCTAATTTGAAGCATCTCTTTCCCTAACCATTTTCACTTTTTTCTAAAAACAAATACATCCTATATCAAAACTGAATATTTTTTCTTTTATTCATGATGATCATTTTCCAATGTCTAGATAGACTGCAAAAATAGGTTTCTGAAATTGCTAAATACTCTTCTCACTCCAGAGGTACCTCAATTTAACCATTCTCTTTACACTGAAAATTGAAACCCTCCCAATATATTGTTACTATATAAATGTGTGGTAAACTTTTATACATACACATGTTTGCCTATAACTTTGATTATTTTATTAGGGTACAGTCAGGTTACCAAGTATAAACTTTTATTCTAGAAAGACTACTAATTCATAATGGATTCACTTAAGGAGTCTATTCCTGTTTTGATGCACTTTTATCAACACTTAATTGCTCTCACTGATGATATATATAGGTTCTCTGATAGGTGAAATCTCATTATGATGATCATGATTGGTTTTTTTGTGTGTATGATGCTAGGGATCAAATCCAGGGCTCTGCACATACTAGGAAAGCATTCTACCATTGAGTTAAACTCCCAACTCATCTATCATTATTTTAAGTAGTATTTCTCTGGCTTCTGCTGAGGGTGGACTTTCACACAGATTAACATTTAAACTTTGTATGTGGATCAACCACTTTTATTCTTTGCCAATATTTCCACACTTGGCACCCTTTCGTTTTCCAATTCTATGGTGTGGCAGATGTCAATATCTATTCTCCACTTCATTTTTTTAGAGCATATTTTCCATTTTTTTAAAGTAGGAATATACCCATTTTTTTTAAAAAACTACATTTTCAACCTTTGTAGAATGGACATTTATACAGTTTCAGTACAAGAAATTTAAGTGGAAGGTACTGGATGGGGGTTGTGAAAAAGATTTTTAAAAGAAGGTCAACTCTGCTGACATGGGCCTTGTGCCTCCTTCTCCTTCCCTTAGAGCTCCTGCCTAGAACCCATTTTATTCCTCACCTTAATTAACCTACACAAATAGGTGAGGCATGAAATTAATGTTAAATCATGTTAATCCTCAGTTAAATCATGATGGGTTGATTAGAGACAAGATTTCAGAACCATCTGTTGTTTATAGAATCAGATCCAAACACCTTTGATTAAGGACCTCAAAATATGAATGAAAATGCAAACTCTTGACTCCATCCCAAGACTGACTCCCTGACAATATGCATATTTGTAAGACACCTGAAGTGTTTTAGCAACATATCAACGTTTGAAAAGGAACCTCTTTACTTCTGTTATGTATAGTTCTCTCCCCCGAAGCCCCAAAATAAAAATATTCAATTAAACACACACTATACTAGGTACTTGATGTGTCTTAACACATTTAATCCTCAACCCACAAGACTAGCAATCCTACCTCCTTTTATTATGTTTTCAGAGATGAGATCAGTGAATCTTAGAGATCTCAAATAAATGGACTTCTCAAAGTCACACTACTAGGAAATAGTACAATGAGGAGGGGACCTTGGGAAAGCCTACTCTAAGCCCATTATGCTTTTTAGCAGCTTCTGCCTTTCTGTGTGAAAAATCTGTTAATTTTATATCCACCACATTAAGTGGAAAATACTTAATGGCAAGGACTCTCAAAATTAATTAATTTTGTCTGAGAAAGATAGGATTCCAAAATTAGGATTGAAAAGAAAACAAGGCACTAGAAAAAATATCCGTTGTTAGAATTAGGGAAACTTCTGAAAACAGAATAGGCCTAGCTCTATAAATCATCAAAATTTATATCCAAGAACCTGGATTCAATCCTCAGCACTAAAATAAGACAAAACAAAAAATAAAAACTATTTAAACTTTACTCTGTAGGGCTGGCCAATAAATGTGGCATGTTTATATGTTGCTGGGCAACATGTGCCTCCTTTATCAGTGCAGAGGCCCTGGCCTGTTCTATTTCCAGTGGCCAGTAGAGAAGGGCCCACCAACTTACCTCCTCCTTCCAGTCGTGAGATCACAGCAGGTTTGAGAAGTGAAAATCCTGGTTTGGAAGAAGGAAATAGAAGTGACATAAATTATTTCCCATACATGAGTTCCTAAACCTCTTCTCACATTGCCTCTGCAATGAGGAAGATAGAACTCTAGGAATGGTGGAGGGTAGAGGAGGGGAGGGGAGGGGAGGGGGATGAGAAGGGCCAGAACTTTGGAAGGGATGTGGGAAGACTTGGGAAAGGCCCAGACTATTGAGATTACCACTTTTTGACCTTTGACTGAAATATTCAGAGCACAGAAATCCTTAAAAAGATTCAAAATAAGTAAGATGAGGGAAATCCTGAAGATGCCACCATGGAACAGGAAGTAACTATTTTTTTGCTGTGTCCAAAACACAATTTCCATAGGGTGAATCAAAGTGTATACAAAACCTAAAAATCCTATGTTGGTCTAAAGAGAACTTGAGGTTTGCTCTTCCCGGCAATCCCCAGGAGACTAGAAATAGCACCACTCAGTAAAAGAGTACCAGGTGCTCCACCTGCAACCTGTCAGGGACAAGGGAGCCAGGAATCCCCAAATGGCAGAGTTTGAATCCAAGGGAGAGAGACCTTACCCAGGGAGGCCACATTCCCATAATTCTCCAGCATCACATCCTTGTACAGGGCCCTCTGCGCAGGAGACAGGCCATCCCATTCCGTCTGGGTGAAGTACACAGCCACATCCTCAAAGGTCACCGACTTCTGAAACAACAAGTTCCTGCTGCCCTAGGGCCAATTGCATGGCTCAGGCCCTAAGTGAGGGGCAGAGGGCAGTATAAAGGTCTGGGGAGGGAGCTTGTTAAGAATACACTATTAATAATAAGGAAAATTTGAGAAAAAGCACCAGGAAAGTAAACCATGGACTATCCATCTACTCTCATAGCACAGAAACCTTATGCCATTTTTTTTATGCTTATAAAAGATAACATAAGCTAGGCTAAAAGAAAATGTTTCCCATAAACAAATTCCCCCAAAACAACTCTGCTCCTTTAGAATAGTTTTGGCTTCCATCTCATCTGCCAGGAACTCGCATCACAGACCCCCTAACCAGGGGCTCTGTGGCATTTTTTCTGGCACTGCCAGCAGGGAGGCTCAGTGCTGCCTGGGCCAGTGGTTTCACTGGCATTTTCTGATAAACTCTCCCTTTCACGTTCCATCCTTCCCAACTTCTATCTAAAATTCAGTGTTTCTCCAAAAATGTTCTGGAAAGAAGGAAGACCACCATTCCAGTTTGCCAGCTGCTCTGCCATCCTTCTGGTCTCTATTTTTGCCACTAAGCTATGTGGTCAGCACAAGCTGCTGCTAGGGCTGATGTAACTCCCAAGTCCCTTCTAAGGAGCTGCAGTCCCCCGCTGGCTCTCCCTCCTCCTACTTCAGCTTTCTGTTACAACCTTGAGGACTTGAGATCTGCCTCCCAACTCCTCTCTGCTTGGATTTGTCTTCTTGATCCTGCGGACTTCCATCTACCAACAATTCTAGTCCAATTTCTAAGTGTGTCTGTGAGTCCTATATGTGTGACCTCAAGTAGGTCAAGTAACTTCTCTGCACAAAATTAAAGGCCCTCCTAGGGGCTGGGGTTGTGGCTCAGTGGTAGAGCGCATGCCTGGCAAGTGCGAGGCCCTGGGTTCAATCCTCAGCCCCACATAAAAATAAATAAAATAAATAATGGTGTTGTGTCCAACTACAACTAAAATAAAAAAAAATTAAAAAAAAAAAAGAGCCCTCCTATATGATACCACCACCCTTTCCCCAAGCAAGTTGGCAGCTCCTCTTGAACTCATTCTTAATGTCAGCACCATCCACAAAGGAAATGTCAGGTAGAAACACGGGGTTTTTCTTGATTCTTCCTCTTCTCTATTCATTTTCCAATCCTTTGACTTTCTACATCCTAAAGACTTTTAGGTCTCTAGCAGTACTATTTAAACAACTCCTCTTAAACAACTTTCCTTGATAAAGCCCATATCTCCTGGGCCAGTGGAATTTGTTCTGGAATGGTCACCTTGCTTTTGAATCTCCCCTGAAAATTATTTGGGAGATACATGGCTGTCACAAATCTGATTAAGTTAACATGACTGGTTCCACAGCTATCATGTGGCTGGACAGTTTCAAATCACACAATAATTCTGTGACCTAGGGCACATCACTCCCCTATGCCTCCATGTCTTTTTGGTAGAATAAATACAACACAGCACCGAGCACAGGGTGTTGTGTTCAACTACAACTAAAAAAAATTTAAAACAAAACAAAATAAAAAAAAACCCACCCTGTCCAAATGGTCCATGCAAGGGGCACCATTTGGATCTTGCAACACAGTAAGCCTCAAATATGTTACTGGGACTATGGAATTCTAGAGTCTACAGAAGTCCATGAATAAGCTTCAGGAGATCTGCAAAGTCCCTGAAAAGTGTTTAGACATTTTGGTTTGCAAGCTTGTTCGTTCATTTGTTCATTGGTTTGTTTGTTCATTCATTCATTCATTCATTCATTCATTCATTCATTTAGCAGGGAGAAGGTCAAGAACTCTTTTCAAAAATCTTAAGTCTGAATCACTGTACCCCAAGCCCTGAAAGCTTCATAAGGACATAAAGGGACACTCAGTTCCACAAGACTCCCTGTCTTTCCCCTCCCTTTATCCCACTCCCATCATCACCTCCTTTCCCCCCTAATTAGAGGCATAGCATCCTTCTCATTGATCTGGTCCTGCTCCTCCTCTTCCTTGATACCCCTGCCACTGGGAATCCCAAACCTGTGTAATTCTCCTCCACTCACATTAGTGCATAGAGCATCCCACATGTGCAGCTTCCATAGCCCCATTCACCCATAGCCCCCTGCTGGGGATGCTCCTGTATGAAGAAACAGGGACCCCTGGAATGCAAAGGACCACATTTGCCTTATGGGCTTCCCTGTTGCCTCCACTGGTCACCATCCCAGTCTCTGCTGCCCCACTCCTGAACCACCTTTCCCAGAAGTTCCTGTCTTACAGGCAGAAGCTGTTTTCATGCCAAGGCTCACCAGCTCCCTTCTCAGTTCTCCTCAATGAAACTGCCAGAAGAGTTAAAGAACCCACAGCTCACCTGGGGCCAGGCTGTCAGGAGCATGGCTGCCATCACCTGGTATCCCTCTCAGAGAAGGGCTGCAGCTGAGGAGAAACAGAGAAAATGTGAGGAGAGTCACTATCCACCAGGATCAACACAGCCCTTCAGAGAAGATCTGAGGCATAGGTAGCCAGCATCCAGACAGGAGCATGAATAGGAGTTATCATGGAACAGGAAAAAGGAAGTGATCTGTTCCCTGGCTCAGTGCCCAGGATTCCTCCCAGCTAGGACAATGATGCTCACTTTCAGAAACCCTAGGACTTCTATATGACAAAAATCATATAGAAAAGTATATAAAAGTGCATGCAGTCTAAAAGAATAATAAAAAAAATTCATCTATCAACAATTCAGACAGAACATTACTATGATCTTTGACTCATTTCTCTTTCTCTGAACAAACACCATCTTGATTATACTGTAAGAGAATCAAAGATGGCTGGGCTACAGTCCCAGCACACAGGCCTATGGAGTCAGGCTCTGGGAAGGCACTTAGAGAAAGGAACAGCTGCTTCCTGACAGCTGCCTGTTTCCTGAGAGATCTGAGGGTCCTCCAAAATCCCAGTGCTTCCACAGAGGTCTCGACAGTTAGCTTCCTGCATAGCCCAGGATTCCTTAAGGAAGTTGGGCTGGAAGGGAGGTACCAGACTGCGCCCTCACACTATCCAGCATTTTGATTGCAAAGTCATGGACTTCTGAAGTTCCAAGGAAGCACTGACCACCTTTGGGAAGCTACAACCAACAATGCCTCTGAAAGAATCTATACCATTTATCCTGTTCCTGCCCTGAGGTCCTCTGATGCCTCTATGGGACACCTGTTGGGACCTGAAGTACAGGAGAAATAACACCTGAAGAGTCACATGAGGCTCCTCAAAGATGGAGCTTCTCTGCAAGACAGCCTGTGTAGACTTTGACAATGCGTCCTTGTATTGGTATGTTCAATTAATTTGGCTGAAGAAAGCCCTCTATTCACATATTTGAGTCTTTGTGTGTATAAAGCTGCAACCTAACTTAGAACATAAACTGAAAAATCCCAATGTAACTTACAAATTTGTCTTTGTAATATACAGCTGAGTCCCTTTTTTTTTTTTTTTAAAGTACCAAGGCTTGAACCCAGGACACTTAATAATTGAGCCATATCCCCAGCCCTTTTTAATTTTGTGACAGGGTCTCACTAAGTTCCTTAGAGCCTCACTCAATTGTTGAAGCTGGCCTTGAACTTTCAATCCTCCTGCCTTAGCTTTAGCTTTCACTGGGATTATAGTGGTGCACCACCATTCCCAGCTATAGCTAAAGTCTTGGTCAATGGCTGAGCTTCAGTCAAGCCAGGCTCAAATAAGGCAAACTCCAGGTATTAAACAACTGAACTTCTGATTTCTGGATGGCAATTCCCCTTTTCTGTTTGAAAGTGCTCTCTAGCCACATGAAGACCCCAGAGTATTTCTGAACCTGCCCTGGTTCTAGGGTGTGTCTAATTATCAAAACATAAGTGAACTTGGTTAAATTTATCTAAAGTTTTTCTTTTATTTATTTTTTCCTATTTATTTATTTGGTACTGGAAACAGAACCCAAGGTTGCTTTTAACTGAACTACATGCTAAGCCCTTTTCATCTTTCCATTTTGTGACAGGGTCTTGCTGAGTTGCTAAGACTAGTCTCAAACTTAAGATCTTCCTGCCTCAGCCTTCCAAGCTGTTGCGATTATAGGTGTGTGCCACCGCACCTAAAGTTTTTTTTTTAACAGGCTTTCCCTTCTGTTTATTCCTCTTGTTATTACACTGTCCCTCTGACAAATTCCTCAATAAATTCCTACACACAAATCTTTGTTCCATGTTCTGCTTTTGGAAGAAGCTTTCCCCACCTTCCTGAAGTTCCAAGATTTATTCATTATTTTCATTCTTTCTTATTTGGCAAGTAAGGTCTATAAGGCCACAAATTTTCCTCTGGACTATTAGCCACATTCCAAAGATTTTTAAATTTCACATATTAATTACTAGTTTGTAGCCAATCAGCAACTCTGTTTTGTCTCTGATCTAACAATAATATTGCTTATTTTTTCCTCTGTTCATAAGTTCTAGATTTACTGCATGTTTTAAATAACCTTATCTATTAATTTTTACTTCACTGATTTTTAAGAATGGCTCAAGTGTCCATTTTTTTAATGTATTTTATGGTGTTCAAAAGGAAAACTAGGGCTGAGTTTGTGGCTCTGTGGTGGAGCACCTGTCTAGCATGTGTGAGGCACTGGGTTCGCTTCTCAACACCACATTAAGATAAATAAAGTTATTTAAAAAAAAAAAAAGGAAAGCTTATTCTATGATTGAAGAATATGTAACTCCATTTGAATCTAATAAGTCAACTCTACCATTTCTTTTCCACATTAATAAGCCAAAGAAAGATAAACATGCTGTTCATTACAAAGGTATGTAAAAAATTCCAATACTCATGCCTCATTTTAAAAACATATGCCCTAGAGACACATATATGTAGGAGATGTGCTAAAAATATTCACTCTAAGCACTACTTCATTAAAAAAAAAGAAAAACCTGAAAAGAACCCACGTATCCACTGACACTAACAAGTTTTCATATCATTTTCACAATGGAACATTACCTAACAGCTACACATAACATGAATGGATTTAGGGACATAATACTGATTACGCAAGTACGAGATGACTACAGACACTATGATGCCATTTATATAAAAGCTTGCAAATAATAATACACACACACCACACAAACACACACACGGGTGATACATTTTTTAAAACAGGCTATGATAACACAAAATTCAAGATAGATGTTATCTCTGAAATGAGAGGCTGGAAGATGAGTGAGAAGAACACTGATAGATGTAGCAGCACCAGCACGGTTCTTTTTTAATCAGGTGATATGTCCATAGGTGCTCATTTTGCGACTATATATACTCATATGTAAGTATATTCTTTTTTTTAATTTTAAAAAAGTTTTTGTTAGTTGTAGTTGGACACAATACCTTTATTTTTGTTTTATTTTTATGTGGTGCTGAGGATCGAATCCTGCACCTTGCACATGCTAGGCGAGTGCTCTACCGCTCAGCCACAACCTCAGCCCCATGTAAATATATTCTTGAAGACAGACAGACAGATACA